TACAGTTTTGGCCAATGAGACATGACGTAAAGTATGCTGGGGTTCCTTCCGGGAAAGTTGTCTTTGTTCCTAAGAAAGACAGAGGAAGAGAGAGTCCTTCTCTTCCTTCTGATGCTGTTGCATCTTGATATGATACTGGGAATTGCTGTCACCACCTTGCTACCAACCTGAGGCTACAGGCAGTGGCATTCCGCCTTCCTCCCTCTCCCCTCTCACCCTCCTGCCATTGCCCGCCATTTGCTCTCTATTATGCATACATCTTGTTCTTCCTTGGGATCCCCCAACTATCTGATCTCTTAGCTAAATTCAACATTCTTTGGGGTGTTGTCTGGGTGCCCCTGGCTAGAGGCAGGGGCTGGGTCCACCACTTGAGCTTGGTTGGGTTGTGCCAGTAAAATCTACAGCCTTTAGAGTTGGGGACAGAGTCTGGGGACAGAGCCTGGAGATGATTTTTTCCACTCTTCCCCCCCACCATTATAAAAATGAAAAAACTGAAGTCCTCAGGGCTGCTGGTAATGCACAGAGGGTGCAGCAGTGCCCTGGTGGGGACTCAGGCCTCTGAACCAGCAGGACAGAGGGCCCGTGACATGTTGATACCCAAGGACAGGGCCACCCGGGCAGAAAATCTTGGCCCCAGAGCTAGTGGACAGGGAGTCCTGGCTTCACACACCAGAAAGCTGAGGCAGGCCCAGGAAGGTGTGACCTGTCCAAAGTCCCAGAACAGAGGTCTAGGATCCCAGCAAAGGGACGTGAGAATCCAGAGACCTTAGATCTGCTGGAACCAAGGACCTGAGGCCCCCAAGCACCTGTCCTGGGAGACGTGAATCCTGGAGGGGTAACTGCTCACTTCCCATCAGCGCATCTGTGTACCTGGAACCCAGATAGCAAGGGCAGCCACCTCTCAGGCTGCACAGCCCTGGGGGCCTGGTGGGGGCTCCGGCCTGGCTCCAGCTGACCACCTCTACCCCCGCGGTGGTGGCCACAGAGCCTTATCTCTCCCATGCCACATGGAGCAGCCACTGCCACCATGGCTGAGCACACATTCGAGGCACTGGCTGGGTCCCAGGTCTGGCCTGTTCTCGCCAGAGCATAAGCACATTTAGTGGAATCCACCCGTTCATCCACTTCTGCACCCACTCACTATGTGGAGTGTTGTGTTCCCAAGGCTAATTGACTTCCCAGTGTCACATTAGCATATGAGAGTAGTTCACTGAGCATGGGGTCAAAGTCAAGGCTCGGGGAACTGCCAACAGACCATGTGCCCATGAGGCAGATGGTCTGAGCCAGTCAGGTCGCTGGCAAGGAACACAGCCCAGGTGCCGATTTGCTCAGGCCTTAGGTGGAATGCTGTTTCCTGGGGCCTTCTCCCTCTATCCTATTGTGATGTTTAGTTTTATGTGTCAACTTGGCTGGGCCATGGTGCCCATATATTTGGTCAAACATTTTTCCGGCTATCTGTGGAGGTGTTCTTTGGATGAGACTAACCTTGAAATCAGTGGACCTTGAGCAAAGCAGACTGCCTGCCGTAACGTGGGTGGGCCTCGCCCAATGCAGTGAAGGAATGGAAGAAACACTGACATCCCCTGAGCACAAAGGATGCTGGCCTCCCCATCAGACTGTGGTTGGACTCGCCAAGCCTCCACAATCGCGGGAGCTAATTCCTTAACCTAAATCTATGTAAATACATCCTGTTGGTTCTGTTTAGAAGGGAGAGTTACCCAAATATTAAGGGGGGCTTCCCCCCATGTTGTCCTCTGGGGGCATCACTGCTAATCCTGTGGCACACGTGGATTTGCCCCCGACTCTCCCCTCAGCTGTGTGCAGCCTGTTCCTTTGCAGGTCATCTTGTGGTGCTGGGGGTAGGGGGACGTCACTGACCCACCCATAGGGCAAGGAGGAGGGTGGAGAATTCCAGATGGGAGGGGACCAATGTCAGAATTGTTTCCTCTTTTCTTTTTTAATTTTTTTTTTTTTTTTTTGTAGAGAGGGCATCTCGCTATATTGCTCAGGCTGGTCTCGAACTCAAGCAATCCTCCCGCCTCAGCCTCCTGAAGTGCTGGGATTACAGGCATGAGCCACCACACCCGGCCAGAATTGTTCCCTTCTAAAGGCTGGTAAGCCCGAGTCATTTTATTCCATAATTCGTGACACTTTGGTTTATCGGTCTACCCCTCCCATTTCTTGAGAGTGAAAAATGGGAGCCCCCAAGGTATTTTTTTTACAGTGCTTGAGGAGACAAAAGACCAGAAAGTGTGTTGAGGAAGAGACCCTAATTTATGACTTCTGAGTTGAATTTATATTCTTTAATGTTGGATATGAATCTTTTGATTGAGGTGAGGCTGCAAATAGTCCCCTATTCTGAGATGAACTTACAGACAGAAAGGAAACCGTAGCAGTGGTACAATTAGTGACACAGTCACCCATCCCCCAGGAGCAGAGAAAATGGCCAAAAACGTGTTCCTAAGATACGTGAAACTGCATGTTCCCAGGCTAAGAGCTCCTTCATTAGCAGCTCAGCATCCGGGCCGGTAAAGGCCAAGCCTAATGATGTCATAGTCAACAAGCAGCTTGTGTTTAAGAGTGGATTCTATTTTTTCCATGTGCACAAAAACAAGCCTGGTGCAGTGACAGAGAAAGAGTGTTTTAGAGAGAGAAAAGTGCATCTTAGGAGCTAATTACATTGGCAAAAATTGGAGTAGAGCACATCTAAACACTTGTCTGGTTTGGAAATGCTACCTAATTTTCTCCAAGCATGCTAACCAATTCCTTTGCTTCTGGGTGGAACATGGTTTCGGTATTATTCTGTAAACAGTAACTAAACAGTACAACCAAAGGGTGCCAGTGGAGGAGGAAGTTGGGCTTTGCAGTTGCTATTGGTTATAGGCAAGGGTTGGTTGAAAGGTCATACACAAACGCAGTGTGGAGCTTTCTATGTGCGACCGAACCCTCAGAGTTGTGGGGAGGTGGGGAGTGGGCCGGGAAACAGTTCAGGCCAAGCCCCTCAGGGTACAAGGGGGTTGACCAAGGATCCAGTGAGTTTGTGGCTGAACTGGGACCAGAACTGGCTTCTCTTCTCTTTCACCTCTACCATGCTGTGAAACAAGGAATAGCCCGGCTATTAACACAAAACAGCCTGCCTGTTACGGGCTGAACCGTGTCCTACCCTAAATTCATACGTTGAAGCCCTAGCTCCTAGTGCCTCAGAATGTGAGTGGATTTGGAGATAGAGCCTTTAAACAGTGATTAAATTAAAATGAATCACCTAATTAATTGGGTGGGCCCCAGTCCAATTTAACTGGTATCCTTACTAGAAGAGGATTTGGACATGCTGAGAGACATCAGGGTGTGGGGGCAGAAGGAGTACGTGAGGACACAGCGAGAAGACAGCCACCTGCCAGCCAAGGACAGTGGCCTCAGGAGACACCAGTTCTGCCAACACCTTGATCTTGGACTTTGGTCCTCAGAGCTGTGAGAAAATTAATTTCTGTTGTTTCAGCCACTCAGTCCGTGGTAGTTGGTTACGGCACCCCGGGCTGACTCACACGCCCCTCTTCCGAGGGCCGCGCACACCAGATGTGCAGTTATCTGTACCATGTGCACATGCCAGAGCCCATGTGTTGCCCACTCGGAACCTAATGGTGTCTTACACTGGACCTTAGCCAAGAGGCCGAGAAGCGCTAAACCTAATGGGATCTTAAAGAGAGCAAGAGAAAAGCCGGCACAACAAAAATACGCAGCCGAGAGAGCACAGCATTGCTTTGCTACTCAACATCTCAAAATCAAAAATGTACAAGTTGAGCTGATACCTGGAGAACCACTGGGGTCATGGTCACGGTTTGCCATGGATTCCCCACTGTTCTCCTCCCGTGGACTTCACGGAAGGTGATTCAGACCTCCCCAGCTCAGGTTTCCCCCCAGGCAAACAGGTGTCACGCTGCCTGGTCTTCTGGAGGTGTCTGATTTGCCTGCATCTATCCTATACCCAAGGAGTAGATGCTCCCCTATGTTGGGATTAAATTGGCAACCCCCAAATGTTCACAGGCATCCTCAGGAGAGCAGCTGAGTCCCTCTAAGTCTGCCTTGTTTAGACTCAAGATGCACCAGGTGTCACCAAGCCCAGCTCCAAATCCCAGGCAGCCTCTTTGAAAGCTGCCTTCTACTTAGGTGGTATAGACATGTCTACATGATTAGATTTTAGGTAGGGCCTTGGTCTGGAAACATCTCCCTTGTAAGCAGGGACAGTATCCCCAGGGCGGAAACAGTGCTTGGTAATAGGAACTCAGACCAGCCCAATTCTAAAATTCTCGTTGTCAGAATCACTTCTTTGGGTCAAGGCATTAAAGGCCCCTATTATACATGTTATCAAAGGGCCATGCTATTAAGACATCTTCAGCCATTAACGCCTCTGTGACTTTATGGGTGTGGCCTGGGTCCACTCTTATTTAACCTCTTGGGGCCCAGGGCCCAGGGCCGCTGGGAGGAGAGAAGGAAGGGTTCACAGCCCTGTGGGGCAGAGCGTTGAGCATAGGCAGGTGTGTTGTATGGAGGGACGTGGGTGACAAAAAAAGGATAAGGGAGTTCAGAAGGAACACTGCTTGCTTGACGTTTTTGAGCCAGCCAGACCTCCACATCAGAGTCACCCTTTGGCCAGGCGGCTCAGATAACGAACATGCGGGCCAGGCCAGGTGGCAAGTGCACGAGTCCTGCTGCGTCCGCGTCCGCGTAAGGAACTTGGCATCTCAGAGCTGGCCTTGGCCTGGGGCCAGGAAGCTGGGAGCGCAGGAACAATATACAGCGGGTCACGGGGGCAGGGGACAGCTGCTGGCTTCCTAGAGCCGCTGCCGTGATTGGCACTCCAGGGGTGGGGCTTCACCCATGCTCTCAGCCAATCAGCTCGCCCGCCCGCCCCGGGCTCCCACGCCCCCACGGGGCAGCAGGAGAGGCCGGGGCGGGTGACAAGCCCGGGTCGCCGCAGCTGGGGCTGTCGGCTGGGGAGAAAGGTCCAGGGCGGGAGGCGGCCGAGGCTCAGCAGGGCGAAGACGACATCTGGTCGTAGTCAGGGCACTTGAGCAAGGCCGGGTAGTTGCTGTTCATCTGCAGGGAGGCGTCGCTGGAGATGTCGGAGGGGCTGCGGCCCCGGACCCAGGCGTCCGGGTGCAGGAACTGGCCCGAGTAGTCGGAGCAGTTGCTCAGCCGAGGGCGGTAGAAGCCAGGGTGAGGTCTGTACATGTCCTCGGCGGTGTACCTCTTCATGAACAGGTACACAGACATCACGCCGGCACTCTACAGTGACGAGAAAGCAGGGAGAGCTCACCGCCAGGGCCTGCCTTAACTGCCCCGGCTGGGGTAGCACATGTACATGGGGACAGGAGTGGGGCCCTGGGTTCGTCCGGGGTGCAGGAGCCCTGGGAAGGCAAGAGCGCGTCACCTGGGATGAAGGAGGGAGGTAGAGCGGTGGCCCAGGATGCTTATGGAGCGATTCCCTCCTCCTGGCACAGCGCCCCCACCCCAGCCTGTCCTGGCTCCGTGGGACAACGGGGTTTACCTCTGTTAAAAGGAAAGAGATGGCAGCGAAGGCAAACGACCATCCGTATTTGTAGTTGAAATAGGTCTCTGGGTCCTTAGTCCTGTTGAGCACCTCGTCGTTGATGCTGGAGATGTACAGCACGAGGCCCACCACGAGAGAGAGGCCTGGGTGGGGCAGGGGAGCGGAGGGGACACTCAGCACAGAAGGCCGGGGAGTTGGCCGATGTGGCATCAGCTCCCCTCGAGGTTCAGGAGCAAAGCTGCCCGTCTTGGGGTGAGGATGCTTTCATCTTGGAGTTCGAGGGAGAGCAGGAGTTTCCTCCTGAGGACCCTGCTTAGACCAGCACCTTCTAGGTAGCAGATCGCTGCAGGTAGGGAAGTGTCCTGTCCAACTTCCCTCCTGGGCCATGGCTACGCCCAGTGGTTCTCGGCCCGCTGTCCACACCTGTCACATAGACGTGTCTGAGCGCCAGCCCTGGACCTGCTGACTCACTCGGCCTGGGCTGGGGCCCTGGCACTGCATTTTCTTAAAAGCTACCCAGGTGACACTAATGTGAACCGGGGCTGTGAACCACTGAGCTGGCAAGTGGCTTTTACTACACTGAAGAGTAAAATAGGTCCCCTCAGCAGGGGTAGTCAAGGCCCCCAACCCCTGTCTCCAGCTGTGTGTGTCCTCGTGGAGTCTGCCAATATGGCCCGTGGGCTGTGCGGCCCACCAGATCACAGACTGTGGCCCTGAGATCTTTAGGCAGAGCAGGGAAAGAGAGTTTGTCCAGATGCTGGCAAGCCTTCAACCAGGAGGCCAGGGGGCCCAAACTCCTACTGCGACCGTGCAAATGACTGCCTCAGGCCCGTCAATTAGTAACTGTAATTGAATCAAGACATAATTAATTACTCTGTTTTGAGCTGTTCAGGTTTAATTCCATTTGCATGGAATTTTTATGAAACTGGGGCATATTGAACGATGAATGTTAAAGGAAAATAGGTGTGATTGAAACCTTCCTTAGTATTTAACTCAGATTGGAATCGCTGCTGCCCCAAATGAATGCTCTTTATTATCATTAAAACAACTTCATATGGCCCAGCTCAATCCTACATTCTGATCCTGTAGCCCACTGCTGAACAACCCCAGGTGTTTCAAAGCTCCTAGATAGCCTTGGCTGTTGTGACGTTCACAGTAGGAAAACGAGCTTAACCCTGGGATCGTGACTCTGCACTAGGTGGAAATACTGCCACGCAAAGTTTGGGCTAATGACATCGCAGGTGCTTCATGATACATTTGGTTTGGTGGATGGAAGATGGGCCAGTGGTAGATTGAAAATGGATGGACAGATGGAGGGAAGGAAGAGTGGGTAGGCGTGTGGATGGATGGAAGGATGGAAGGAAGGAAGGAGAAAGAACAGCTCTTGGGCATCAGGCATTCTGCCACCTGGCTCCCAGGCTATGTTAACATGAAAATTTGGGGAAAGAATCCTAAAGCGACTTAGGAATCCGGTGACAATCAGAATGCCTGGTGCCCAATGGCTGTTTTTCCTTTCCTTCCATCCATCCACCCACCCACCCATCCATCTATCCATCAGTTATTCAAGCCACTCACCCACCCATCTTCCATCCAAGCATCTTCTCCCTTGGGTCCCCTCCCTAGTCAACCAGTCCAAGGCACCTAAAATACATGCCCTGAGAGTCACTCCTTTGGCCTGAGTCATTATCTCCAAGAGAAAAGGTCTCCATGAAAATGTGCAGGTCACAGCAAAGGGGAGAAAGAGCCACCTTTATTTACCACGTTCCCTCCCCTTCTCACTCTGCACTCCCATGAGAAATCTCATCCATGTCCATGGAGTCTCTCCTACTCCGTAGGCTGATGGCTCCCAAATCTCTGTCTTTGATCCCAGCCTCTCCCCAGCCACTGCTCCTGCCCCACCGCGGGCTGCAGATGACCATCATAGCCCTTGTCACACTGCACTATTTCCTGTCCACTTGTTTGTATCTCCCACTGCACTTACCTTTTTGTGGGCGGTGTTGCCACACCCAGAATAAGGCGTGGTAGATGTCACAAATGAATGAATGGAAGGAAGAATGAATGAAGTACAATGTGGTGTCAGTCGGGGAAGACAGATCCATATTGAAGGGGCCTAGGAGGGCCCAGGGTGTGGCTTGCATGTGTGACTGGAGAGTGGTGGGGACGGTTGGAGTCTCCTGAGAACAGCTGGGGACTGGGGGTGGGGGTGAAGGAGCCACCATTCCAAAGGCTGATTGTGTTTATTGTTTATGCACAAATATGAAGACATAGCCCCTTCGACACAGGAATGCTCATTATCGGTGGGAACTGAAATGTTGGCTGTGGTGTGTGGAGTGAGGGAAGAAGGCTGAGCTCCTGTCCAGCTCTGTCCTGGGCCAGCCTGTCTAGCCACTCCTCCTCAGGAGCCTCCATTGCTCTTCCGGAAGGTGACGGATGGGCCCAGGGTCATCAGAAGTCTCCTCCAGCTCTGACTCAGTTCTGCCCGGGTCACTGGCTCAGCTTGTCCCGTTTCCAGGGCCAGGGGCTGACCCCCGGCCATGACCAGGACTTCCCAGAGCAGAGCTGTTTAGGGGCTAAATGTCAAAAGTCCAGAAAACACAGCTTACCGGAGAGGATAAAGAAGATGCCGGAGACGAAGGCCAGTATCGTCCTGTGGGGACGGATGTGTCCAATGTTGCTCAGGATAAAGCCGATAAACATGAAGAAGAGGCTGACCAGAGGGAACGGTGTGGCTGAGCGAATCATCTCTAGGTGAGGGGACAAAAGGATGGCCTGTCAGCCTCCGGTGGCTTCGCTCTCTTCTCATCATCCCGAGCCCAGTGTTCCTGGCAGTGTCTGCCACCGGGTCCTCGGAGCCCCTGCACCAGCTCCCCGGGCTCCATCCCCCACTGGGTGGCCTGGGGACCTCCCAGCTCTGGCAGGGCTTTTGCCCCTGAGGGGTGGCTGGAAGGCCTGGCTTCAAGTGCCAACATATTCAGGCCCCTATCGTTTCCTCTGGGCATAAGGCCCTGTGGAAGCACCTGGTCACTCCATCTTGCTTCCTCTCCCAAGGGCAGTCACCATTTCCCTGGGCAAGGGGCTGCTCTGAGTGGCACATGGGACAGTCACTGACCTCTGTCTTCTTCAACTTGTGATTACTTGAGGAGCAGTTCTGTTGTATAATAAAGAGTTTATCCAGTCTTTGTCCCTGATTCCTGAGAGATAACCTCTAAATTCTTATAATTTCCCAAGTGACGGGAGTGTCTTTGCTATTCATGGTGGGCCCCTCGACCACGCCCGAGTTTATGCTAAGGGGGTAACTCAGAATGGGGGCTGGGAAGACCAACCATGTGATTAGAGCATTGCAGTCTGGAGCCAGGTGCTATGAGCCTGACCCCTGGGGAAGGGAGGGGCTGGAGACTGAGTTCCATCAATCATGCCCACATAATGGAACCCAGTAACAACTCTGGACACCAATGCTCGGTTGAGCTTCCTGGTTGATGAACACATAGATGTATTAGGATGTGGCACATCCTGATTCTATGGGGAGAGGACACTACAGCTCTGCCTTGGGGACCCTCCCAGACCTTGCCCTATGTGTCTCTTCATTTGGCTGGTCCTGATTTGCATGCTTTATAATAAAACTGTAATGGTAAGTACAGGGCTTTCCTGAGTTCTGTGTCTTTCTAGCAAATTATTGAACATGAGGGAGTCAAGGGAACTCCCGCACTTGTGGCCAGTTGGTCAGAAGTGCAGGTGGCCTGGGGACCTCTGAACTTGCAGCAGGCATCTGAGGTGAGGGCAGTCTTGTCGAAGACTGAGACCTTAAACCTGTGCAGTCTGTGTTAACCGCAGGCGATTCGTGTCGGAATCGCACTGCAGTGTTGCAAGCTCACTCTGGGGGCAGAGCCAACTCTGGTGAGGCCAGGGCCAAGCAGTCAGTCCCACTGGGGGCCAGAGAGTTCAGTTCCCTGGGTATGGAAGCCCTCTTGCTTGCCTGGGTCACCACAGCAACCTTTCTCCACCACTGGGAAATTAATGTGCAGGGCGAGCTGGTGAAGCCAGGCCAGCACACCCAGCTGGGCCTAAGGGCATTTGCTCTTGAGAAGTACGCTGGCCACCCTGACTCTTCCCGCTGCCCTGCTCCTCTCTGTGCGGCCAGTGGCCCAGGGGCAAAGTTCAAGGCACCTACTTAGAACGTTGACCGTGGACTCGGACGTCAGCTGGGAGTTCATGGGCATCACGTATTCTATGGTGAAGCAGCGTCCCCGCTCCTCACCTGTGGAAACAAGAATCTTTTACATCTCCAGGCCCTTCCTGAACATGGATTTGAAGTTAGTCTATTCCAAAGGTGTTTCCAGATGCATCTAGGATCTTTGACCCACTGTGTCTTGGCACCTGGGCTGGATCTAAACCCTAGGGAGGTCCTGTCCCTGGCTGGGGGCCCACAGCAGGGGTGGAAGCACGTCCCGACATCAAATCCTTCCTGGAGAAGCACCCAGGTGCTTCTGGTGAGGATGGACCCAGCCACCGGCGTCGCATGGAAAGAGGCCGGCTCTGCAAGCTCCCCGGGCTGACCGAACGCCTGGTGCTGTCTCACTGCTTTTGGACAGGTGGGGCTGATGATGGCACAGCTGACTTAGATTCGCCAGTGCGGGCGTCATGGAGCTGAACTCCAAAAGCCTTGTCAACCACTTTGGAAACCAGATCCCGGTGACTTCAAACTCCACTTCAGATTTAAGCAGGGACTGATGTCACACAGTTTGGGGCAGTGGGAGAAGTCAGAACTGGATGCCGTTCCCAAGGCAGACTCAACAAGTGAGGCCCAGGCCTCTAGATGGCCTCCCTGCTAAATACTGCTGGGCACCAACTGCCACCCAATCCCCCAAAGCTCTCCCATCAAGCTGGAGGAAAAAAATCTGGGAGAACCAAATCGTGTCTCCTTGCAATGCACAGGAAGGTTATAGGGCCCTACCAAGAAAAGCCCGGTGACCACACTGTGGCAGTCCTGGCCAGCCCAGGCTGTGGCTAGTCTCGCATGACTTGGAGATGCTTTTCTTGTGCAGGTTGGTCCTGGGCCATGACAAAGGCATAAGGCACAGAGCTCTTGGAGTAAGAATTCCAAGGGTTCCAGAGAAGCCTTAGCAAGCAGAAGGGAGGCCCAGATTGGCAGGATCAAAAGCTTCACACTCCGCAGGGCTGGAGACCTGCATTTGTGTATTCTCTGTGCCGTTTCATGGACAGAGGAACAGCGAAACTGCTAAGTATTGCCCACCCTGCAAATTAGTGGATGCAAGGAAGTTGAGTTAAGGAGACTTACTTACCCTCCCCTCATTTGTAAAGTGGAAATAGTAACGAGTCCTGTCTTGTACTATTGTTTGGAAGATTATAGGGGATCCATAGTTCAATGAGCTAAGGTATGCAAGAGCACTTGAGACCTGTGCAATGTCATTCTCATTGTCATTCTGTGGGGGCAGAGTGTGGGGAAGGCATAGTCACATTCGTCTTCCAGGAGGGAAGACCTGGGAGGCGAAAGGACACAGCCCATCAGGGCTGAAGTTTGCAGCAGGGTCCCGGTCTCTGCAGGGAGCAGCGCCCAGAGTTTACGGGGATCATTCATGGTGAACTGGCTCCTCCCAGCATCTCTGGGCCATCTCTTCCCAGGGAGGGATCTCTTGGGGGGAGGTGATCCTGAGGTAGGGGTGGGGTGTCCCCGACCCGGGGCGCCCTTACCTGCAAGGAAGCAGACCCGCCAGAGGCCTGAGTGCAGGGACATCCTGATCTCCGTGCTCTGGTTCTGAGGCAGGACCACGCCCTCCTCCAGGTACAGCCAGTAGTCGGTGCTGACGGCTATGCCCAGGAGGCCCAGGCCACAGACCGCAAAGACGCTGCTCAGCAGAGTCAGGGCCTTCCTCCCGCAGGCACTCATCTTCGCGGATGGATGCTAGGTGGCCAGCGGCCCTGCTCTCACCAGCACGGAGGGGATCTGGGGGCAGGGAGAGAGGGTGAGCAGGTGGCAGTGGCCACAGCTCTGAGAAGACCAAGATGAGGAGCCAGTAACTAAAGTCAACCCTGCCTGGCTCAACAGATGGATAAAGACCACCAGGCAACTCCCTGGATGCCTGGCCACCATGACACAGGTGCCACCCTCTTCCTCCCCCCTCGGGAACTCACAGCTTTCTTGGCTGCAAGGGCCCCCTTGTCCTCTCTGGAAGTCCCCTTTGCTGGGTACCACTATTCATTCATTCATTCATTCAGCAATCCACTGTGCCAGACACGGGAGATACAAAAATGAACACGACACTATCCTTGCCCTTAAAGAGTTCCCCATCTAGAAGAACAGAGGTGACCCCAAACGCAGCCCAGTGAGAGCTGTGGCTGAGACCTGCCCAGGAAGCAGAGAGGAAGAATGAAGAAGAGAACTGTGCTGGGCTGGCTTCTCTGTGTTGAGAAGGATTCTGAAGTTCAAACACAGCCTGTGAGAGCAGCAGGCCCCAGAAGGGGGGGGTGGCAGCAGCCCTGGGAAGAGGCAGAAGGGTAGGGAGGCTTCTTGGGGGCAGCTGTCTTCCTCATGTGACTCTAATCAGTTGTAGGACTAGGTCAACACAAGAAGCCACATCACAGTCCCAGTGCAATAGAATCCACCTAATCCGAAACGGCCCGACCCTTGCCCGCACAGCACAGCATACTGGCAGGAGCTGGCTGTGGACCAGCCACAGAGAAGCGGAGTCTATGCCAGCTTGGCCATGAGCACACCCACTGATGCCCGCCAGGGCCAGGCACTGGGCTTGGGGCCACAGTGGGGTGCAAGGGAGATGGAGGCCGTGCCCCACAGAGCCACGGCCAGGCTCAGCGCCTCTGTGGCTCTTTGGCTGCAATCTAGAGCCACCTAGGGAGCATATAAACATCCCTGATTCCTGGGCACTGCTCCAAGAGACTCTGCTACAACTGGATTCACGTGGGGCCTGGGCAGTGGTATTGTTTAATGCTCCCAGGTGATTCCAATGAAAACAACTGATCCCGGTTACTCAAGGAGTGGTCCTTGGGCCAGCGGCATCAGCATCACGGGAGCTTGTTAGAACAGTAGACTCTCTGGCCCTCTCACTTCCTAAATTGGAATCTGCATCTTAACAGGATCCGGGTGAGTTGTCTGCCTGCCACCATCTGAGAAGCACCACGCCAAGCAAACAGGTGATGGCATCACAATGTAGCAGCTGCTGTCACGGTGAAAGCCTGGATATGACAAGAACCCAGAAGGGGTCACCCAAGGTGGGTGGAGGGGCAGGCAGAGCCATCTCTAGGCGAGCGTGGGACCTGGGGCAACTCAAACAGGGTGCCTCACCCAAGCTGTCAGGGTCACAAGGTGGCCATGTTAATGTTGTCAGGAAAGAGGTGCAGCAGTGCCTTGGTGGGGCCCCCAAGCTCAAGGCCTCAGCGATGTCCCGGGGCCCTACCCAAGGGATGGCATCATGTTCCCGCTGAGCTTCCAGGCACAGGTGGATATTGAGACGGCTGAAAAGGGACAGAAGCCAGATTCGTGTGCAGAGTCTGAGCTCGCTGTGGGGTGGGGGCCCGGGCTGGTGGGTTGGGGGAGAGTGGGGGAGATCGGTGCTTTTGTGAGCAGTTGTGGCCATCCTGGCTCTGGTTCCACCGCGCTGGCCCTGCCCTGGCAGCTAACTGTGGGAGAGTTGATTGATTAGCAGAGTGAGGCTCACACTGGCTTCCCAGAGACAAGTGATGGTGTGTGTTCACCATGTTTGCAAGGCTGGAGAGGGGTTCAAGCCCTGACAATCCTTCCTGCGTTGTCTTTGACAAAGAAGGCAGAAATGAAATGTAAAACAGCCAGCCCTCCCCACCCAGCCAAATCATTCTCTGTGCAGTAGGTGGGTGTTGGAGCAGGGCAGCTGGTATCTAATACAAACGTCTAATGAAGCACCCATCAGCCCTGTGCTTGCTGCTGCGGAAGAGACGACAGATTCAGGGCCACTGCCGCTTGCAGAGTTCACAAGCTGGAAGGATGTGCAAGGTGGGGCAGCATCACAACAGCAGAACCCGGGTCCGAGGAGGGGGTGGCAGGGCAGGCACGCAGAGCCTCAGGGAGAGGCTGCCTTGCCGCAGGTGGGAAGCAGTAGTGATACTGTAATGATAATGAAGATTTTCATAACAGCTAAGCACTTCCACTTACACTTGAGGCTCACAAAACCCCAGCATCTGCTAGAGGAAATGGGACTGGAACCCCGAGGACGGTTACCAGCGACCAGGGAAGCAGAGAACAGAGGGATAAGACTCCCAGAGAACAACAGCCGGGTGTGATGCCAACTGCCTTGAACTAGGAGCCAGGAAAACTGGATTTTATACTCAACCGTGCCACTAAAGATCTGTGTAATGTTGGAAACTAGCCTGTCTGCTACGGTTTGGATATGGTTGGTTTGTCCCCACCAGAGCTCATGTTGAAATTTGTCCCCCTGTTGTGGCGGTGTTGGGAGGTGCTGGGTCGCGCTGCTCTGGCGGTGGTAGTGAGTGAGTTCTCGCTTCCTGGAGATTGGATTAGTTCAAAAGAATGAATTGGTTCCCGTGAGAATGGGTGTGATAAAGCCAGGACGTCCCCCATGTTTCCTCCGTTCCTTTTTGCTCTTCTCTGCCATGTTGCGATGCCGCGTGAAAGCCCTTGCCCGAAGACACCAGGGCAGTGCCCTTGAACTTCTCAGCCTGCAGAACCGTGAGCTAAATACACCTCTTTATCAGTTACCCAGGCTTAGGTGTGCTTTTACAGCAACACAAAATGGACTAAGACACTCTCCCAGGCCCATTTTTCTCCCAGATAACACGGAGGAAGAGAATAATAACAAAAGCTAAAGTATATTGTATCGAATGTCTACCATTGTTAGGCTCCTGCTAAGAACTTTACTCTCTAATCCTTACAATTCTATTACCATCCCATTTTACAGGTAAGCAAAGCAAGGCTAAGAGAGGCTAAGAAACTTGCACAAGATCACTCAGTGAGCAAGTGGTGGCGCCTCCATTTGAACCTCACCTTGCCTCGCTCCCACGCCCTTTCTCAGACCACCCCCATGAGTGTGTCCAAAGTGGGTTCCATGGAGCAACAGCTCCGTGCAATATTCTAGATAAAAGGACTCTCTGGTGAAAAACAGCTTGGGAAGCACTGCAGCTAGCTCTTAAAGGACCACATTGTACATTATGTTAAAGGCTGGAAAAGCCTGTTTAGCTTTGCTATTCCAGTACTTTCCAAACTTATTTGACCACAAAATCACATCAAGTTCTGTGGAACCCACTTGGGGAACCCTGCTGCCCCCCATGAAAAATAACAAGCCCTGCCCTGCTCACTTCACAAAAATTGCTGAGGTGATTAAACACAACAGTAGATCTGACTGTGCTTTGAAAAAACCTAATGCATGATCCTGGCATAAGGTATCATTAATAGTATTATTAAACAACAATGGACTAAGCCCCTGCTTCTTGCAGAGAAGACGGATCAGAGCTTCTGAAATAGGATGGCTGCTGCCTGGCCTCAGCTGAGCTGCCCATTTTAATGTTAAGCATGGCAGGAAGATGAAAGAGATTCAAGTCTTGGAGATTTGGGAAGATGAAAGGGGACAGGAGATTGGATCTGGATTTACAAAAGCGAGAAATAAAAGAAGAGGCTGAAGGTGACCTTGCCTGCCACACTCTACAACAGCAGACCCTGAAGTCTAGAGTGTACTTAGGAAAACCACAAAGTCTTATCCCTTTCCAGAGTATGCAGTAAATTTACAGAATGCTACATGGGGTGAAAAAGAGTCATATTCATTACAAAATTATATTTATGCCTCTATTATATAATGATATTTATTTATAAGTAAATAATATTATTTACCAAATATGAATCAGCTAGCAGGCACTGTGAAGAGCCCTTTATGTATGATACTGTTTCCATAACCAAGGAATAAAACTAAATTAAAGATTAATCAATTCTCCAATCACTGACCTTGTAAACAAAAATGCAGGGCTCCAGCTAACTCCTAGGTTAGAAACACTAACATGCAATGTCAACATGTCCCGTTGGAGATTGGGGCCCAGAAGCATGGCAGCTTTAAGCTTTTTAAGATGATTACCGGTGCCTTTACCTCTAAGAATTAGCTTGTTAATTATCAGGAATAATTATCACATGCTAATTATCATCCATGACTAGCAATTAGGGAGAAATGTCTTATGGAGATTATATCACTAATGGTAGATTCCACTGCACAAGCCAATTATAAAAGAATTTGCAATGAAGTGTTTTAGGTGCCCAGAAGTCGGTGAGGTTACAGGTGCGAGAGAGAGTCCAGCTTTCAAACTACTGAGGAGGATGGGAGAGGTTTAACAGGATAGAAGGAGAAAGCAGAAAGACAGCCTAATGCAGACACCCTGATCTCAGTTTCCTACTAGTCCAGAGAAGCCCCAGGAGTGCTGTGATGAAGGGTGTGCGATGAGCTGGTGACCAGAGGACAACCCCCAGTGGTCCTATGGCCCTGCCTGCTTCCCACCATCCTGTTCCCCATTTACTGTCTATGGTGGTGAAAAAATGACCACAAATTCTTTGACATTCCTCCCTTTGAGGAGTGGGGCCCACGTCCTCTCCCCTTGAGTCTCGGCAGGTTTGCGACTGCTTTGACAAGTAAGGTACACAGAAGAGATGCTATGTGACCTCTAAGGCTGGGTTGTAAAAGGAGATGCAGGTTCTACCTGCTTCTCTTGGGGATTCACTCCGGGGAAGCCAGCCCCCATGTAAGAAATCTGACTACCCCCAGACCACCATGCTTTAGAACAGGGCTTCTCACCCTCAGCCCTATTGGCATTTGGGAGGGAAGATTCTTTGTCATGGGGACTGTCATGTGCATTTCAGGATGTTTAGCAGTATCCACAGCCTCTATCCACCAGCTGTTAATAGTACCCCAGTTGTGACAGACAAAAATGTCCCTTCAAGGGCAAAAATCACTCCTGGTTGAGAACCACTGCTTTGGAGGCTCCGTGCGGGTGCTCTGGTTGACA